CTGGAATAACAAATCCGATCCATAGAGGCCCCACATCTCAATTTGCAGGACTTAGAGGATCTGCTGCTAATGTCTTGGTGCCAGATACCAAAGCACACATTAAGAGGTCTTGTGTTGTCCGTGCCATGATGCATCAGAGCTGTTTTGGCAGCACGAGGGGGACCTACATGACTTGAGGCAGCTGGTTTTAATGCAATGGCTGATCAGTGGATATACTCAAACTCCCATCACTCTTGGGTGACTCAATTAACTGTAGTATTTTTAAAAATAAAGCAACAAACAAACTAATCTTTAGAAAACCAAAACAAACTAAAAAAAATGTCACCTGCACTCTTTCTCAAACACCAATCTACATTTTCAAATAATGTAAATTTGAATACTACTGAAAGTGTCACCAATGTGTAAGATCAAGAAAAAACTTTTAGTTGAGTCTTTGGTTGATTTTAGCTTAAATGTAATATTTTAAATGAGAGAGAAAAGGGTATTTTCAGAAATTCCTACAAAATCGTTAATTTTACACATGGGGTGTAGGTTATTTTAAAAGGTTATTTTATCTGATTGCTTTGAAACAAACCGCCCTCTAGACATATACAAAGCAAAAAGGCAAATGTAAGATTGAGTTTGTTCTAGTTAACTATTTGATTACAAAATGGTTTGTACAGGTGAGTATGTTTGCTCAAAGGCTGTTTGTTTGCATGTCCTCATGATAAGCAAATGGCACCTATTGCAAAAATAGAGCAGCTTAGACGACCTTGACATTGGTATATCGACTTAAATAACTCAAGGGCTTCTCCGAGTTCTTGAATGATTCCAAATACATTTTTGTAACCACATATTCAATCAAAGGGGCTTGTCTACTAAACTGTGAGTTGTAAGACATTGCCAACTACAATAGATTATTTTTGGTTAAACACAACTCACTGTTTAGTGAATGAACCCCATATTTACAAATATTTGTAAAATGAATTTTGATTGTTAACATTTACATCTGCTTACAATATATCCTCCTTTGGAGAGGTAACACATTTCTGATATGTATACAAACTGCAAGTACTTGTCATTTTTTGGGTATTTCCCTTTCTGAGATCACACTGCTCCATGTAGTTTGTTATTATTAGGATTAGTGGGTATTTCCACTTCCCTATCAACAGGGTATTTGACATTTATTTTGTCACAGTAGCTGTTGTGGACTACTTATGTGGCGTAGCAAATCTACTGTTTAAAGGACCACTCTAGGCACCCAGACCACTACAGCTTAATGAAGTGGTCTGGGTGCCTGGTCCAGCTAGCATTAACCCATTTTTTCATAAACATAGCAGTTTCACAGAAACTGCTATGTTTATGAATGGGTTAAGCCTTCCCCCTAATCCTCTAGTGGCTGTCTCATTGACAGCCACTAGAGGCGCTTGCGTGCTTCTCACTGTGATTTTCACAGTGAGAGCGCGCCAGCGTCCATAGGAAAGCATTATGAATGCTTTCCTATGTGACCGGCTGAATGCGCGCGCAGCTCTTGCCGCGCATGCGCATTCAGCCCAGGAGGAGGATCGGAGGAGGAGAGCTCCCCGCCCGGTGTTGGAAAAAGGTAAGTTTAAACCCCTTTCCCCTTTCCAGAGCCGGGCGGGAGGGGGACCCTGAGGGTGGGGGCACCCTCAGGGCACTATAGTGCCAGGAAAACGAGTATGTTTTCCTGGCACTATAGTGGTCCTTTAAAGGTACAATGTAGCATGGCCCTTAATCACACCATAATTATAAAGTGCATAACTACAAATGTAGTGCAATGATTCGTATTAAAGTGCTCGATTAATTAAAAAGTGTTCAGCACAGCCAAGATTATACATACATAGAACAAAATTTTGTATACCTAAAAGAATTTACTGGTATTATTAATGGTTTTGTGTAATGATTATATTATATAATCTGGCACTTAAAAGTGAAAGATTTGTTATGTTCTACACATATTTGCACTGGGATTCACTTTAATATACGAATTGATTTATGCATGTGTAATCTATGCTGTGATAAATACTTTATAATTCATTGAGCACTTTATTATGACTTTTTTCACTATAGTTTTATTTAAGCACTTCATATTCAAGCACATTGTAATTAAGGTGTGATATTAAGCGATATGTTACATTGTATGTTTATATTTTGATGTCAAGGAAGACACTTTGCCCCCATTTTTTATGAGCTGAACTCAAAGATCTAAGACTTTTTCTATGTACACAAAAGGCCTATTTCTCTCAAATATTGTTCACAAATCTGTCTAAATCTGTGTTAGTGAGCACTTCTCCTTTGCCGAGATAATTCATCCACCTCTCAGGTGTGGCATATCAAGATGCTGATTAGACAGCATGATTACTGCAAAGGTGTGTATTAGGCTGGCCACAATAAAAGGTCACTCTGGCCACTCTAAAATTGTTGACATCGACGAGCATGTTGAATAAATTAAAGCGACACTGTCATGCCGAACTTACCTTTCTTTAATCGATTTCTTTTCTCTCCCTCTCTCAGGATCTGTTCTTCATTTCTTCCTGTCTGCTATTTGTCTTATGGAGGTTTCCTACGCCTGACCAGCTATGACCAGCGGAGAAGCAAAGTGTGCTTCATTTCTGGTGGTCAGAGCAATTTTCCCACAATTCTCACCTTTCCTCCGTGTTCCCGCGAAGCCTCTTTTCACTTTTCCCGAAAGGTCCTGTGGCTGCTCACTGTTGTAAAAAAACCAAAAACAAATCCCCCCCCCCTCCTAGTGTCCTCCCTCCCAAGCCTCCACTTGTGCGGCGCGACTGGTGGCTATTAAACAGAAGGCTGGACCAAGCATCCCCCCCGGCCCCAACCCATGAGCGGTGGGTGGGGGCCCTAAATAAAAATGGGGGGACCTATTGCCCTCCCCCCCAGCCCCCACCCATGAATGGTGGGTGGGGGCCATAAATGAAAATTGGGGGGGAACTATTGTCCTCCCGGCCCGGCCCCCATCCCTGAGCGGCGGATGGGGCCTTAAATGAGAATGTGGAGGGGCACCTATTGTCCTCCCCCCCGGGGGCCCTAAATTAAAATGTTAAACAAAACTGAGGCGCCCCCCTACCCTGCGCCACCCCCACCCAACCCTTCCCACCCAACCCATCAGACACACACACACACACACAGTCAGACACAAACACACACACAGTCAGACACACACACACACACAAACACACAGTCAGACACACACACACCGTCAGACACACACACACACACACAGTCAGACACACACACACCGTCAGACACACACACACACACAGTCAGACACACATACACACACACAGTCAGACACACACAGTCAGACACACACACAGTCAGACACAACACAGTCAGACACAAACACACACACACACACACAGTCAGACACACACACACACAGTCAGACACACACACACAGTCAGACACACACACACAATCACTCACATTAACACTTATTTTTTTTTTATTTAACCGTCCCCCCAGCCTCCTTACCATTGGGAATGCTGGGGGGGGGTTCTCTTTCTCCCTGGGGGTCCAGTGGCTGCCGGTCGGGCTGATGGGCTGGCTCCTGGGCGGGCGGCTGACGAGGGAGCACTGCCTCTGAGCGGTCTGCTCAGCTCCCTCGCGCGGAATGTTCCGGAATCTTAAATTTGTTTTCCTTGACCTATCTTCAAGAGAACATATCTTTTCTTCTAGTTGTGTCATTTTGGCTTCCATTTTAGTTTGCTTTTCTTACATATCTTAGAATTGGGACACTCTTAGTTCCTCCTTTTGCTACATATGCTAAAGTGTCTCTGATTTAGAGGCAAGATGTCTGACTTCAAATCTAAAAATTTGTTGTTGAAATCACTTTTAAGATATTTAAGTACTACATACAAACATTCTTTTAAGAAACTTGGGGAGACATTGTTTCTATCCACTTCAGAAGGTTGCGTACTTTCTACCAGTGTCATCGATGTGTTTGTGTTGTTTTTTTTTCATTGTTTCTGAATTATCTTGTATTAGGAAAAAGGATGATAACCTCATAACCTCTTTTCTTGCATTTGACCTTTTAAAAAAAAAAAAATAATAATAATAATTTTTGGCATTAGCTCTATTATCTTGAGTTCGCTTAGATGCCATTATTGGTAATTTGAATGTGGAAATGGTACCGTGAGGATAATATTATTTCTTTCCTTTCCTTTTTCTCTTTTGTTTTCCTTTCCCTCTTTTTTTTTCTTTTCATACTTTTTTTCCTCCTTTTTTTATTTCTTCCCTTTTTTTCCTCTTTTTTAATTTTCCCTTCCTTTTTTCCTTCTTTTTTCTCTTTTTCTTCTATTTACTTTTCTTTTATTTGATTTTGCAGCAAACCGCAAAATGCAGAACACACAACTGCTTTGCTCCTGTTTAATTTAGTATTTCTGATTTATCAGATTATTGTTTGGGTCTGTAGTACTATTTGTTTCTAATCCCCCTTTAGAAATACAGCAATACAGCAAAATAGTTCTTATATAGGTCTTTGCTTTTACTCTAGTTACTTTAAAGGGACATTATAGTCACCTGAACAACTTTAGCTTAATGAAGCAGTTTTGATGTATAGAACATGCCCCTGCAGTCTCACTGCTCAATCCTCTGCCATTTAGGAGTTAAATCCCTTTGTTTATGAACCCTAGTCACACCTGCATGTGACTTGCACAGCCTTCCATAAACACTTCCTGTAAAGAGAGCCCTATCTAGGCTTTCTTTATTGCAAGTTCTGTTTAATTAAGTTTTTCTTATCCCTTGCTATGTTAATAGCTTGCTAGACCCTGCAAGAGCCTCCTGAATGTGATTAAAGTTCAAGTTAGAGATTGAGATACAATTATTTAAGGTAAATTACACCTGAAAACTGATTACATTGAAAGTGAAACCAGTTTTTTTTTTCATGCAGGCTCTGTCAGTCATAGCCAGGGGAGGTGTGGCTAGGGCTGCATAAACAGAAACAAAGTGATTTAACTCCTAAACCTGTGAGAGGTTGTGTAGGCAGTTCCCAAGTGCATTGCTTAGGTCGGGGGTCTTTAATGCTGTTAAGGCATCCCCACTCATTAGGGCACTGTATCACATCTTAAACATTCCGGCCCCATGTTCATGAAAAGTATTTAGAACCCAAATTTACACTATTCTTAACCTTACACCTAACCTTAACTAAGTCTATAGCTAATCAGCAAAACCCATATGTCTTCTTAACCATAAGTCTTCCCATGCCAATGCCATTTGACACATTTAAGTATTACCAGTTTCAGAGAACGTTTCAGAGAGAGGCAGTGTTTGAATTTTTTAGTCAATATGCCTCTGGTGGCTTTATGGTTTTTTTTTTAAGGTGGTCATATTCAGAGTTATCTGTAGTAGGACCCTTGGCGCTTCTCTGTGGTCATTCTGGTGACAATCTGAGAAGGAGGAGCTACAGCAGTGGCAAGAACTGAATGCCACTGGATGAGAGGTCATTTTTTCTTTTTTAATTTTAATTTGTAATGGGAGAAGGGGCAGAAATCTATAGTCACCAAGAATACTCAGTTGTAAATACATCTACACTGATCATCCACAACATTGAAACAATCTACCTAATTTAGTGTAGGTCCACCTCATGCTGCCAAAACAGCTCTGATGCATTGAGACATTGACTACACAAGACCTCTGAATGTGTCTTATGGATTCTGGCACCAAAACATTAGCAACCGATCTTTTAAGTTGGGAGGTGGGTCCTCCATGGATCAGATTTGTTGTTCCAGCACATCCCACATTGGATGGAGATCTGGGGAATTTGGAGGTCAAAGCACAAACTTCAACTCTTCGTCAAGTTGGTAGAATGTGTTAAAGTAACATTTACATAAATGCCAAGATCCAAGGGTTCCCATCAGAACTTTGCCCAGAGCATAACACTACTTCCCTGTAAATGATGCACACACACTCGGTCATCCACCTGATCGAAAAGAAAATTTAATTTATCAGTCTAGGCAACCTTCATTCATTACTCCTTGATCCAGTCTGATGTTCGCGTACCCATTGATGGTGCTTTCGGTGGTGGACAGGGGTCATCATGGGCACTCTGACGGTGTGTGGGGCAGCTACACAGTCCCACTTGCAGCAAACTGCAATGCACTGTGTGTTCTCACACCTTTCTATCATGGTCAGCGGTTTTACAGCAATTTGAGCTACTGTAGCTCTACTGTGTGATTGGAACAGATGAGCTAGTCTTCGCTCCAGACATACATCAATGAGCCTTGGATGCCCATGACCCTGACACTGTTTCACCAGTTCTCCTTCATTGCACCAGTTTTAGTTTGTACTAACCACTGCATGCCTGGAACAACACTCAAGACGTTCTGTTTTGGAGATGCCATCACTATTTTGCCTTTGTCAAAGTCACTCAGAACCTTTCTCTTGTCAATTTCTCCTGGTCCATCAAATGATCATTGCACCACTGTTCACATGCTGCCTAATATATCCCACCCCTTAACAGGTGCCATTATAATGATATAATCAATGTTATGCCCTTCACCTGTCAGTAGTTTTAATGTTGTGGCTGATCAATATATGCTAGGGCAGCACAAAACCAGGATACACCACTGCGTGTCCTATGTATAGCCCTGTTTATGAATATATTTCCAGATAATGGTTTGCCTTATACTGTTGATAATCGATTTAGGTCTGCTTTTCTGACCCAATACAATGTTGATCATAGAAATATTAAAAAAGGGCTGCAGAATCACTGGTCAATATTGTTACAAGATCCGGTGTTAGAAGCACATTTACTTGAACATCCTCAAGTGATCTTTAAGAAAAATCAGAACTTGAAAAACATGTTGGCTCCCAGTTACGCCATTAAAACCTCTTCCACTAATATGAATGTAGGAGTCTGCAGGGGATGTAATGTGTGCAAAGCTTGTAAGACTGTGACTATTGTGAGATCAAATACCTTTTCTAGTTTCAGTACTGGGAAGGTATACCATATTAAATCAGATATAGGTTGCCACACGGACTTTGTAGTCTATTTACTGCAATGTCAGTGTGGCAAACAGTATGTGGGCCGTACCGCAAGAATATTTAAAGTTCGAATACTTGAGCATCTGAACAATATTAGGAAGGGGTTAATCACTCACTCAGTTTCTGCTCATTGAGGTACATGCCCTTCCTTTTCATGGAAAGAGTTCAGATGCATGGGTATTGAAAGAGTTGCCCCTCATTGGCCTGGTGGTGATAGTATTAAGAACCTATCCCAAAGAGAAACTTTTTGGATTCACCAATTAAAAACATTAGAACCCATGGGATTAAATGTAGACATTGATTTGGTCTGTTTTTTATAAATCATACTATGTTTTTTGGTCTGTTTGTATGTCTCTGTGTTTCATTATAACAGTATTTGGTCTCTTTCACCCTTGTTTTCTTCTTTACCTTTTGGTAATTCCATAGAGATACATTGTTGTATTGATTAAGCTTCCATGTTACCATCCACCATATACTTTTAAAAAATTGCGGATTTACATCCATTTTACCATTTAGTCAAGTGTATCTGATTTGGATATACAAATACCGATACACTGAGAGATTATTTGCGGTAGATATGTGTGCTTTTCTTTTTAAATTTATATTATTCTAATTTAGTCAAAAAACTCGTTAACATACAATATACATATAATTAATTATAAAAAAAAACAAAAACAAAAAAAATGATTATTTATTATTTTTAAATTATTCACATTATTCACAATTGTTACTTTGTGATTATAATAGTTTTTTCGAGATTAGATTTGAATTAAATACTTATTGGGGATTTCAAAATGGTAAAAGTGATCCGTCTATGCTCTATAGTTATATTCCACCATGTTGCTGCCGATACTATTGTGTTTTGTCTCAATAGATATATGATTATCTCCAATATTCACTATTTGGGACTGTTCCCCTGGCGACCACTAGAGGGCTCTGCTAATAGACATCCTGGCCTCCCTTGCTGGAACGCACGATTGAATGAAACGCGGAAGTGTGCGTTCACTTCCGGTTCCGGTTTTCGGTTGACACTGGACGCAGGAATTTCGATTGCAATCAAAGTAAGAAAAAGTCAGCTGGATTTGATTAACCACTACACCAATGAAGAAAGGAATCCAGGAGGATGCCCAGGTCGCCACCAATCAACTTAGGGCTTATCCCTATATAACAGGACTGATGGGAGGGTGGTATCAGGCTGTATTTTATACTCTGTTATTGTTGTATAATATTTGGTTTTAATTTTGGTCCCTGAGGAAGTTCTATTTTGTGAACGAAACGCGTAGGACCTCATTTTATGTTTATATTTCCTTTTTATTGCTGGGTGATACCTCACCCTTAATAAAGCCGTTTTACAATTTTTCCACCATCTTGGAAGTCCTGTGTTCCATCTATTCTTTTGGAGCAACTGGAGGAAGATAATATTCCCCCACTACTACCAGAGGAGGCACCCTAGAGCGCTATTTCTCGTCTAATCTTGTGAGTGCATTACATGAACATTTACTCACTATTTGAAACTGATTCACACTATGTATATTTATGTTTTTTAATTTTAGATTTCTCAGCCGTATCCCAAATGTTTCTGGTTGTTTTGTATTTTGCTGTGTAAAGGTCATTTACTCTGGGTAATGACCTGGGAGGCTGTTCTATTTGAATATTAAGATAAATAAATTTCTTACTTGTACACACTATTCACTAAGTGGTGATATAGGAATATATAGGAATATATTGGTGATATGGCCATGAATATATTTGAATAATGCTATAATTTCTCCTCTAAAGGCGCTGTTTTTCAGAACTAAAAAGATTTAAATTAAACTTAGTTGTGAAGAGGTTAACACTCTCTAACTAAAATGCTCCATTCCTTTTATCAATTTTGTAGCCTGCCTTCTCCAGGTCCAAGTGTCTCCTTCTCTGGCCCTGCTTCACTGCAGGAGCCTTAAACTGTTCAATTATGCACACACTCTGTTATATTATATTGCATGAACAAAACTGCAAATATAAAAATTTCATTTACTAATAATGTTAATTACAAATATAAATAAACGTATATAACTAGGGAGGATTGTGGTTGTAACACATTCTTGCACAGGGTTCTGAAAATATGGTATCACTGATAGAAGACAAAATAAAATGAGCAGAATATACTGCTAAATTCAACATTTATCAACATTTTTTCCCCTTCAAAAATAGCATTTGAGATGTGTTCCATGTATTAAATGAAAAATAGAAAATAAAAAGTTTTTGAATATAATTAGTCAGAAGGGCTAATGTTTAGGGCTCATGCAATAGATTAATTTCTTACATCAGTCATACACCATACACAAATGAATCCAGCCCATATGGACTGTGTGCATTATAAACCTTTCTTTGTATTCTGATATGTAGAGAGTGCTTTATTTACAAAAGTGGCAATACTTGGACAACGTTGCATCAGACGTTAATTGTAATTCAATAACGTGACAGGCTATAATTTAGCTCCAAACCCGTAGGTGAAAATTCTTTCACATCACAAATGTATGGAAATTTACCAATGCTTAAAATACTTGGAAATACAAACACAAATCTACGTGAGAAGTAAAAATCTGTTGAATTGAAACTAACTGGAGTCGCTGATGCAACCCAGGAAGCATGGGTTACATAAATTGTTACAACTGCCATATTGTATGCTGTAAATGTGCAGAAAGTAATATAATATATATCAACCAGAAATATACTGTATGATGTATGCAGACACACTATATAATGGAAATTGCATAAAATTAAACAAAGCCCAAGGTATAAAAGCTGTACTGGGTAACATCACTTATCAGTGAATCTAGGGCATGAAAGCCCCATTGTAATAATAAAACAGATGCACGATTAAAAAAAAAGCTAAATCGTATCTCATTCACATGCTTAGGGGGTACAATAATGCTCTGTGTAATGGTTTACAATTGAAGAGCTCAACTTCAGTATTGTAATACGTTCTATGTGTTATTACCTAAAACAGGGGTACGCAATCTTCGGGACTCAGATGTTGTGGACCACATCTAGCATAATTCTCTTGAAGCGATAATGCTGCAAAGCATCAGAGAAGATGTAGTCTACAGCATCTGGAGTGCCAAATGTTGCCTACTCCTGACCTTGAAGGTCCATGATAAGGGTAATGATAGAGCCTTGAGTAGCTCAGGTTCGCAATCATGGCTTGACCCTTTCTTCCACCAGTAAGATTTCAAT